TGAACTCCTATCGATAGGCTTTAAAAAAAAGACAATAATTGCCGTTTGTAGTTAAACAGTACTTCTATTTGGAACAGCCTGTCAAGCAGATCTGAAAGTCAGTTTTATCGATTATCTTTCATTTCTCAGTTTCTGAAAAGAACAAATCATCATAGTACTACTGCAGTGGTTTGTTTCCTGTTTCTCACTGCAATAAAAAAAATTACGACACACTCAGTAATAATAAATATAAGAACGGAAAAACCAGTTCTCTTAAGCTTTTAAGGTGACTAGTCGCCTTTTACTTGTCGTGAAATGGAAAAGAATTGTTTGACTTCCTCTGCGGCCGTTTACAAAAGAAGAACGTCACTTAATGATCTGGAGAACGGCTGAAGTTAGAAACATTTCGAGAAACCAAATTAGAAGCAATAATTCAACAAGCAACACTCCTTCTTTTCAACAAGAAGTTTAGCTAATAATAACAGGGACTTTACCCGGGAGGAATAAGAAAAAAGAAGGAAGGGGAAAATGAGAGACCCACATGAGGTCAGTGATTGGCCCACCTCAGTTTTTGCCTAAGAGCGGCCGTATGAGTGGTACAAAAGTATTTTTATTCGATTATAACTCTACTATTTCTGTTGATTCCACAAAAAACGAAGTTTACTTTTTCAACGAGAATTTTATTACAAGAAAAGTAGAATAGTCTTAGGCATCCGTCCATTATAGTTAAGTCAAGAAAAGTGAAAAACAAGAATTCTACCTGCTCCAATCCGTCCCAAGCAAACATCACCTATCCTATGAGAAAATCTAGATACATTTCGTCTGACGACACGGTTAGTTGTCACCTAGATTACTAGTAGGAAAAGGGACTTTTAAACCAGATGCGTCGGCATGTGCAACTAGCAATAGTTAAATCGATCTCTCATCGAGCAATAAATCGATCATGGCAACTGAGGACAAATCTAGCAATCGTTCGATTACTAGATTTTCACTATCATTATCAACTAATTGCAATCGAGCAAAACTCCAATAACCTTGATGAATCGGGGATAGAGGAGGTTCCGACGAGATCTTTGCACCGCACAACGTAACTGGGCGAGCTGATTCCGAATATGCAAAGATCTCGATTGACGCATCTCTAGAAAAAAACCATCAAATTTTTATATGTTTTTTCACTTAGATGACAAAGTATATTATACAATTAGACAATCCCTAAACTTCTCTACAGAGTGTGTGTAAAATAACAATTAACCGCAGTACTTTGATAGCATTAGGGCGCTTAGAATGATCCTACATATACACTATAGTGGACAGTTCTCGCTTGTGTGGCTCCTTTTTCTCTCAAACAAGAAAACACATATTTTCTATTATATATCATTTCGAAGCTCATGAAATTTTCTACACATTCATTTGTTCAGAATTTCAAGATCTGTGGGATCAAGCCCTGAAAAATGGATCAGAAGTAAATCGACTCGCTAAAAATGTGACATGAATACTTTCAGTTTTTACCGTTTGTTATACTAGTAAAGAAACATGTATGTTTTGTGTCATATACCATTTCAACGCTCGTGAAATTTCCTTCAAACCGAACTTTGTATGGCATCTTCATCAGAAGATCCTGAAACTGATCTTGAAATTCTGGACAAATGAGTGTGTAGAAAATTTCATGAGCTTCAAAATGATAATCGGACGATTGCTAGATTTGTCCTCAATTGCCATGATCGATTTATCGCTCGATGAGAGATCGATTTAACTATTGCTAGTTGCACATGCCGACGCAACTAGTTTAAAAGTCACTTTTCCTACTAGTAATCTAGATGACAACTAACCGTGTCGTCAGACGAAATGTATCTAGATTTTCTCATAGGATAGGTGATGTTTGCTTGGGACGGATTGGAGAAGGTAAAGCGCCGCTAATTCAAAATCAGAGTGAAATTTATTTTTCTTTTGAAGTTACATATTCTGAACCGCCTTGACGCGCTGAGTCCGAATCTGATAATATTTTTTCGATTTGAGCGTTTTTTCGCTGAGAAAACTGCCGAACATTAGGTGTTACTCGAAGTTAAATATTCTTCCAGGCACAAAAAACATTGTTTATCTCGGTAATATGACATCCTAGAATTTTTTTGACATGATATTCTGAATTCCTGTGTAAAACTGGGTATAAACATTGTATTTCGAGCTCGGTCAAATATCACGTGATCGACAGAGGTAGCCGTTCGTCGAATGGAGTCAAAAAAGAGATCCTTACTTTGCAAAATTAATAACTCAACAAGGACAGACGATAGCGGCTTCATTCTTCCGCCATTCGATCCGTCGTCTCTCACACAACAAAATGACGGCTCGTTTTTTTCGAAAAAGTTTTTTTTACGGAGATAAGAAATTTGAATTAAAGCACATGCAAAATCGGCCAAGTCATTTGAAAACTAAAAATTCATTTTTCATTCAAAATGCCTGCTGACAGGGTCGAATAGGTTAAAAATGATGGGGAATCTTATACGAATAGTCTTGAGACACGGTAGGGGGCACCACTAGAGATGGGCACCGGGACCAAAAAAATTTTCTGATCCCGGTAAAAGATTTGATTGCCGTTCCATCACCTTCACAGTTAAAATATCATTTGGCCGTGCATTTTGTAGAGAAATGTTTGCTCTTTCAGGTTATATATTCTAAAATATTTCGCGAGTCTCTTTTATCAATCAATTTAGCAAATATATGACCGTTGCCGACCGGGACCAATCTGGTCCCTGTTTTCCACTTTTTGTTCTGTTTTGTTTTCACTTTTATTTTTCATTTGAATTTGTCGTTGGTAACGTGCGACATCGTGGACTTGCACTTCTTGCTATATAATGGCGAGCCGATTTAGCAGGGGGTGTCAAGAAGTTTATCTTATAATAAATATAGTTTAAACTAATAAAGAGTTTGTTGATTTCACGAAAGATGATAGAGGTGAAGTGAACTAGCGGCATTAAATTTTGAACGTCTAGATGTTTTTTCTCTGCTTGCCTTTTTAGGGGGAAAGAAGGGTGTTGCGTTCTGGGAAGAATTTCCTGGCCTTGAAAACTTCAATTTGTTGTTGAAAAATGCACAAAGCAAGCTGCACCTTTCACTGCCGGTAAGGATTTTGTTTTTAGATCTGAAAATCAAAACCTATTTCATGAAAATTTCCTTCCGTTAAGATACTCTTGCAAATTTCATTGATCAGCGTTTCTACGAGATCTATCCGAATTTGGAAAAAGTTGATCAGAAACCAGTGAGATCGGTCCAAAGTTGTAGACTAGATATACGAAGATGGGGGTAAGCTACTCTGAAATGCATCCTTTAAGATGCGAATAGTTGTTTTTTTTGCTCGCGTTTCAGCGCGAAATTTGAAGCGAATACGGGAAGGCCGTATTTTATCGGACATGAAAGGGATGATGTCGTGAAACTTCGGGAAGAATTCGTTCAGTATTTTATTGAGAATGAAAAGTACTTCTACACAGTTTCAAACGATTCAGTTCCGAAGTGGAAAACTCCAAAAGCCGATCCAACAATTCTGATTTGTAGGCTATCGTTTTCCATTTCTTTCTTTAGAACCTTACGCGTCACGTCCTATCAGTTTAGGCCACGACGAAAGCACCTACAAGTCGGGAAAAGTGTCAGCAAAACACTGGCTTATACCGGATCAGGCACCGTTCTATCAGAAAGGAAGAGGACGGAACATCATGTCTTCAGACTTCTTGATTATGCACGATAATGGACCGTTTTTAACGTTGACAGACAAAGAGTATGCAAAGGTACTTCAAAAGTATCCCGATCTTGATGAGGACGACGATATTGACTATGTGAGTTATCAAATAAACTTTGCTTTGCTAAAAGCTTTTTTGCTTGAATTTTTTCCAGTTTAGCGGAGGCAATTTTTCATGTGCCCGCCGCTTGACAAAAAACTAAAATGGCCGATAACGGAGCTTTATCTAAACTGTCTTTTTTAAATGAATGTTTCAGGAGAAGAACACTTCCATCGGGAACGATTAAAGTCGGCGGAGACAACTATTTTGATAATGAACGGGTACTTAGTCAGTTTGAGCACTTATTTCGATTACTACGTTTCAAAGCGGCCTTCAAAAACCAGTGAGTTATATGCTCGTAAACGAGAATTTTTCTGCCTCAGTATCTTAGAGTTCTATGTTTTTTGCGCCTTTTAGTAAATATGCCTGCCTCGTTGACCACGTACACACACGACCACAGAGTTCAGCCTCAGTGAAGTGGGAATGAGACCAGACACAAAATACAGTAGTGATACAGTTGACTTTCTAGACGAACAAAACCAAATGAGGACGCTTCACTTCAAAGATAAGAATGAAGTTAGCAAAGGTCTACTTGCTCTTGCACAAGAATTAAATATTTCCCTACCAAACAAGATCTTTGTAAAAGATTCGAAGGCATTGTTGTCTAATCATCCAACTTTCAAACCTGTGAGTGAAAAAAAGTTTTTGTTACTGAGAGTTCGCACGCTTGTTTCCTTGGAATTTTAGGTCACGAAGCTTGAAAAACTTGCAAGTGAATATGAAGTAAAAATTCTTTATTCGCCCAAGTACCACTGTGAAACGAATCCCATTGAAGGTTACTGGTGTCACAGCAAACAGTTTGCACAAAAGTACACTGAAAAATTCTAGGATGTCATATCACCGAGATAAACAATGTTTTTTGTGCCTGGAAGAATATTTAACTTCGAGTAACACCTAATGTTCGGCAGTTTTCTCAGCGAAAAAACGCTCAAATCGAAAAAATATTATCAGATTCGGACTCAGCGCGTCAAGGCGGTTCAGAATATGTAACTTCAAAAGAAAAATAAATTTCACTCTGATTTTGAATTAGCGGCACCTTAGAATTCTTGTTTTTCACTTTTCTTGACTTAACTATAATGGACGGATGCCTAAGACTATTCTACTTTTCTTGTAATAAAATTCTCGTTGAAACAATAAACTTTGTTTTTTGTGGAATCAAGAGAAATAGCAGATTTGATATAAAGGAATTTTTTTCTAACCTTTTTTACTTTCATTTTTTGTCATTGTCTTCTCTTGTTTTGGTAAAAAACTTTTGGATCCTGCCAATGCAACACTGGTATGGTTCTGTTTTTGAATACCAGCTCCACCGGATGTTGATTCTAGGAGAAGAAAAAATGAGTGGTATTCCTTTAAACGGAAGATATGAAGTCACACATTAGCAGGTGTGACTTCACCTGCAAATTGACGGCTTGTCCAGCTAACGGCCTCCATTTTTTGCTCTTTTTCAAAAAGTTATTACACTAAAGCTGCAAACTCATCTAAAATGGCAACTAGGCAGTTAAGTAGATTAAATATTTCTCTACAGAATGAAAAGTGTCTCGGCTCTGAACGTTGATGTCGTACAAACAGCCCCAAAAATCGATTTTTGGGGCTGTTTCTACAACACGTGTATTTTCATAATGAATCAACGTCAAAATCGGGAGCGATTTTCTAGAAGTACCTAATCAATTTACGGTGACTAGTTCGAAACTGATGGAAAATCAAATTCAGTTTGATAGAAAAGGAACGGAAAATCGATTTCTCTCGAAAATATCAAGAAAATAGAAAAACGCTGACACATACATATAAGAGCTTTTCAAAAATCGCCTTTATTTTTCTATAACTTATTTTCTACCTATTAGTGTATATTGTTAGTATTACTAGACTTATGGACTCTCTGAATGAAATATTATATCGAGTTTCGGAACAGTAGCGCCTACAGAGAAATGAATCCGTTGGTAGAAAAATCTTCGTCGTGTAATCTACAGAAAGTTCTAAGGTTAATAGATCTTACTACAACTTACCATTTTCCACCTTTGCTTGCTCATGAAAATCTTCGCATACTCTGATCTTTTGAATCCAAGGAGATCGTTGTTTATCCTCTTCAATGCGGAAGTTGGACGGTTTGATAAGTTCATCTTTTAGTTGTTTTAACTCAGTCATCCACTTGCTGAGATCCCGTTCATCGTAATCTTCATCGTCTCGACCTTTACGAATCCTATTCGATATTTTACGAAAACTGTCAGTAAGCTGGTCCTGGTTTTTATCTAGTAGTCTGACAATATCAGTGCGACATTCATCAGCGAGTTGATTAATTTTATCGATAGAGACTTTCTTCCATTCATCAATCTGTTTTAACAAATGATGAGAGTTACTTTTATTCGGCATTTCGAGCTCCTGTTTGAGGATATCGTGTTTATAAACAACATTGTCGAGTTCTTTTGACAAATCTTGACGATGGACAATGAAACACCGACTGCAGAATTTTGCTAAGCAGCCATCGCATGTGGCTATACCAGTATTTTTCGCACATTTTGTACACTGAACTTTTGATGTAGTTGTCATTTAAAACTACAATAAAATAGTTGTTCTTCTATTGGAAAAAATTCCACTTTGTTTCAGTCTCGTATTAATGTTAAAAATAAAAGATCTCTACTTGGTAAGCCTTGTTTTTGTATTCCATCTAATGTATAACAAAAACTTCTGTGTCACTCACCCGCCAGTGAGATTGATTGAAAAACGTGTTCTTCGCAAGTTTTTTATATTCGAAACATTTAAAAAAAGGTAACTATGCTGATAAAAGCAAATAACTTCTTATTCTTTCTGTCGCGATGACGGTTACCTTTTAAAAATAGAAAGAGCAGAAAAGCCACAGTTTGTACACGTTTCATTTCAAAACAAGTAAAATAAATACGCAATAGAGACTCTTTCCATTCTTTTTAAGAGCCATATCGTATAAGCCACGGCCGACACGGCTCAAACGTATGTCATAGAACTCGTTCAAATCAGTCATAAAAGAAAATATAGACATTTCTGAATAAAGTGGCTTTTTCCGTTTGAAAAAATATTGCTTGGTAGCTGAGAAACGAGCATTTTAAAATTTCGGTACCGGCACTGTTGTTCAATTTTTGACCACGAGGCATTTATAAGAAAATTCTAATGAATGAATTGGATTCTAAAACTCTGAACCTAGCCGGTCTTGTAGCCCGAGAAAAGTTCTATCGGGCGAGGTATTGCTTAAATTCTTTTGCTGAGTCCTTATTTTGCAAATGGGACTGTAAGCTAGTAGAGTAGGCTAAATTAGCGGTAATTAGTGCTAATTAGTCACTAACAGGAAGGAAAAAACAAAAATTTTTACATATCTTATCGTAGTAAGAATTCTCCACGCATTTCTCTGTCGATCTAGACAAGGATCAAGTTTGCATGGAGAATGGACAGAAATTCTTTTAATATTAGTCCCTTGTTCAAAACAATACTTTTCGAAGTAATTAGTTTTTTTTGCAGTCAGATAATGTCAGTAAGCCAAGAAAACTTCAGAATATATACTTCGAAGTATCCTCTACAAACTGGGAACGTTGGAGAAAAATCTAAATGGGATCTCTCTTCACTCTAGAAAACTAATGTGTCTGGAAAATACATATTCTAATTCACTATCCTGGGAGGAAATTTTATCAGATAAAATCTCATAAATTTTCGCAGCTGAAGGACTTGACAGAGTTTATATCTTCTTCACACTTATAGGTAATTTAGTCGTGAACAGTAAGGAATTTTAATCTAAAACCAGAAACTGAGTATGTTGCACTCAGAATTGTAAGCCCAGATAGCAGATGAATTGATGGACTACTCTAGTACATCTATCAACATGCACAGTTTCCTAATGACTAAAGAGATTAAATTCATTTGCAACAAAAAGAGAGATCATAGGAAAAAGTCATATTTTCTAAACACTAATACACTCTTTCATACTACAGTTATTTGTTAGTTTTCTAAAGTTTAGTTTTTTTAACATCCATTTACTAAAATTCGCGGAAGAGTCGAGGTCCTGTTCGTGGAATAATGGATAAAATTATTCAGTTGAATAGCGTATTTTCCTTTTACGTTCTTTTCCAGTGGACTTCTAACGAAGGAACACCATGAAATGATATCCTCCATTTCAATGATTTATGCCCCGATTGATAGAGGATAATGAGCTGGTAAAAACCCTATAAGGATTTGCGCATGGCACTTGCTCCAGAGTCTTGCGTAGGAAAAATACTAAAAATTCCATAACTCAGCCAAAACAAGGAACTAAAGACTGAAATTTTTTCCTACTAGTGTGCTAGCAGTCTGTTTTTATCACAAAAAAATTTAGCTTATCATTCCGACCAGCTTCGAAGTCATCGAATGTTTGTCATGTGAGTGTGATTATGACTTTTTAAGTAGTTCTTATCTTCCAAGGGAGCATAAATTGTAAACTTCTTCACTTTCGAAATAGTTTTATTAATTTATTAAAAACACTGTTGCTTTCTAGTACTAACGGGTGTTCCAGAATAAATCGGTCACTTAGTATTTTGCTCATATCTTAATTGGATTTTATCCCCTAAACTTTGTTGTTTTCTTAAAAGATGTGTCGTAAAATTCTCTACAAAAAATATGTTAAACATTTTGCTATATATCGTAAAGAGAAAAGAATATCGAAGAAATACTGCGAAGCTTCGATCTCGATTATTTTGCAACTCAAAAAACAATTTTTTCAATTTTAGTCCTTCATACTTTGTGAAACAAAAAACAAGAAGATGGCCATTTGATAGCCCTTGAAAAGCTTTGTCAAGTGTCTATATTTAAAA